GGCTATTTTGGTTTATTTGATATCTACACATTGATATACAATACAAACAATGGTTATTTGGTAAATTATTCAAATAGCATGGCTATATTCTTTATTTTGTGTCTCAATATGATTATTGGAGAAATTGACCCATATGTTATCTATTTCGATTCGACTCGAAATATTTGGATAACCGAAAGTTTATGGAACAAACCAAAATTTGAAGGCTATAAAATGTAACCCATCATGGTCAATTTCTGTTTCTTCAAATATACACTAAAAGAAGTGTGTTTTGTTTTATTTTGCTAAACTAAAAATAAAATAAAAAAGTGTTGGATATTGTAAGGAATTAACGGTGTTTTGTTTCCTGTTTATAGCATTAGTAAGTAATTAAGGATGTTAATGGGAATATGGGATCGATGCTTGTACAACATTGTGGAATATGTTGATTAGCAACAAAAAATATTGTGGAATATGTTTAAAAAATTATAAAAAGTTAATATTATTGTTTTGCTTAACATTAGATATATTGTCGGAGGAGAGTATTATGAGAAAGTACTAGTCTCTAAAAAGTTCGAAAATTATGGTACAAATCCTTAAAGTCTTTGCTTTGGCCATACCATTTTTATGATTGATAGCGATTTCCCATCGGCCTTATTGCTTTCGTTACAAACATTTCATATCAAAAGAAAGTCAAGACTCATATATTTGTAGAATATCATTAGCTTCCTTAATCAAAACAAAAACAAAAATCAATGAATATATTTGTAACGATCATCATTACTATACTTTTCAAGTATATATATTTTATTAATTTGAAAAGTCTAATTAAGAGTTTATTTATATAAAACGTTAGTTTCGATATATAAACCGAAATAGCCCTTTTGAAAAATATGGAATTTGAGATTTATTGGCAGAAAAATTGAAATCTAGCATCTCCAGCCAAGCCTTCCCCCTCATCACATCTTAAAAGATCACTGTCTGATTAAACCTTGCTTAAACATCGATAAATTCAAATAGATATACACACTATAGAAAAAGCCTAATAGATATACACAGTATACAAAAAGCATGATGATAAATTTTTCTAATATTGGACCATGATGCTCATCGAACAAATCCAAAACTTGATACATCTTTACGGAAATACCACCGTTATATATACAGGAAAACTCAGTCCCATATATAATGCCCATGAATATATTTTTTTCAACATTTGCATTTCATTAGAAATTACCAACGTGTTTTTCATGGAGAATTGTTACAATGCATCGAGGGAAACAACGAATACAAAATTATGAATTAAAATTGAATTGGTTATGATGAGATATTAATCGAAGTTATACATCGAAAGTTTAGACAAATATTATATAATATATAGGTAATATTTAATTTTAATTAGTATGAGGTTTTTAGAAAAAGAGTCTAAAAAAAATCAGTGCAGGTTTGTCCATATAGTCCAAAACGGATTATATCATACTAATAGAAGGAGCTAGACATGAGCTTGGAAATCTAAACAAGTGGTATCATAGCCTCAATCCAGGAGAAAAGTGGACCTAGAAAAATGGATGTTGGTTGCAAATTTGTTGTGGGAGGAGAACATTCAAGGTGACCTTGTGTTGGAAATCTTCTTAACGGTGCCAACAGTTACATGAAAAGTTTTATTGGTGAGTACAACAGTAAAAGATGGGTATGAGGTTTTGCTGGAGGCAAGAGGCCAAGGATTTGTGTGGTCTTTGGTTTGAGAAGAGAATTGTTGAGATATCAATCCAAGTTTCACATAAAAATTTAGATAAATATTGTCTATTATATAAGTATTGTCCAACTGTGATTAATATAAGATCTTTTGGGAAGAAGTAAGAACAAAATTCGTGTGAGTTTGTCTACATAGCCCAAAAAAGACAATACTATACTAATTGAGGGAGTTAAACATGAACTTGAAATTCTTTGACCAAACGATATGTTGCTTTGTTTTGCCTCTTTGGCAACCACTTGAACCACTAAACTAAATTTTTGTTTCCAAAATGTAATATCTATTATCCAATTATGAACATAGAAGTTCTTCATCTTACTATTGACAAGAAGTTATCTCGTTTAAAATAAACATTCCGATAACCTAATATCCATGATTATATTCAAAACTAAAAGATGAATGCCAAGTTTCCAATAAATACATTATGAATTTATTTTGCATTGTGGAGATACGATGATGGGTGAAAGCCCTATAACGCGAGGATATCTAACATTGATCAATGTGAATATCCACTAGCCAAAGATTATAAAATCATTTGAATTATAGAAGAATGATGGATTTATATAAAGTTTACATTTCTAGTAACTGTCAAAAGCAAAGAGTGACCCTTAACAAGAAAATAAAGCATGTTTTTATAACAAGTGGCCGCACAATCTATTAGACCACGTCAATTGATAAGAATCTTTAAAAAGTTCATAACAATTTTT